TATACATCAGTATTTGTTTCATTGTCCAGCTGAGCAAGATTTGAGACAGAACTATGTTGGTACTCTGAGATGTTTTTTGGTGTGGTCATGGTTTGGTCACTGTGCTTGGGTAATGCAACAGAGAACTTACTACACATGCCTGGCTTCTCCTAAACCTTGCTACAAGGAAATAAGACCTTATAGAATAGGCTCCTCAGAGAATCTTCTACCATCTAATACAAAAATTATCAAAAAACTCTGTCATTCCTCATTTTATAGAAGTGGGAGTCAGAATTGTCTCAGCAAATGATGATTCCATACGGTAGCATACACCTGTACAGTAGAAGGCATCAGGGTAGGACCCCAGGAGAGTTATCTAATTCAAGCCATACAATTAAGATGGGGCTAGCTTCTCTAGCTTAAATGGAGATGACACAAACTTCAAAAAAAACTGTACAATTATGAAAAAGTATTCTTTCGAAAATCTGATGTTTCTGTAAACATGGAAGTGTGTGAGTCACAATTTACCATCAAGAGAGCCTTGGTTAGAGGTTTGGAAAGAACTAGACCCACCCCATCTTTTAAGAAATAATCCCTAGGACAGGCAAGAATCTTGCCCTAGACCCAACAACAACAACAAAACTCAAAGGCACATCAAAAATTAGTAATTTAAAGTCAGAGAACGAAAAAGCCACAGATGCAGCTGCTTCTTAAAAGGAGTGGGCCAGTACCTGGCCTCTCCATGTTTGCAATAGAAACAACAGAAAGAATAAAGATTTAAATTCTTTCTCACAAAAAACCAACCAAAACAAAACAAAAATCCCAAAACAAAAACAAGCAACTATGTGACTGCTAGAAAAAACAAAGTGTACGGCGAGGCAAGTTCCCGCAGTTTTTTTCTATTTTCTTTTAAGATTTTATTTATTTATTTATTTATTTATTTACTTACTTATTTATAAGAGACAGAGAGAAGTAGAGACATAGCAGAGGAAGAAGCAGGCTCCCTGTGGAAAGCCCGACTCAGGACTCGATCTCAGGACCTCGGGATCACAACCTGAGCCAAAGGCATAGATGGGCTCAACCACTGAGCCACCCAGGGGCCCTTCTGGCAGTTTTTTAAAAGTCAAGGCCAAGGTCTTCCTTATCAATTATTTCTACTTCTTTCTATTCTCTCTCCTTCAAAAGGTTTTGCAAGGATCAAATAAGACACAATGAAAGTGCTAAGTAAACCATTAGGCCCTATAAACTATGTAAGTGGCGTTATACATTTTATTATCACTATTGTTACTACATCGATCGACTGAACTCCTGCCATGCTGACAATTAATTTTTGGCACCCAGTCTTTCTGAGAAGACCCTAAGCTCCTGGAAGGCAAATGCCCAACTAGCATAATGGAAAGCACTGTTGTTCAGAACATGAACGACACTCAACGACCACCCAAACATCCTTTGGACTGAATTGAAATGGACTCTAGAAAAGAGCAGATGATCAATAAGAAGTTTTTAAATAAATAAATAAATAGATAGATAGATAGATAGATAAATAAATAAATAGTAGTTACCCAACACACATAGGCGCTGATTCTCAGCTGTCTTTTACTTTTTCTCTTCTAGTTTAGTAGGTCAGTACTCTGTAAATGTTCCCTTCCTCCCCCTGTTCTAGCTCCCCACAGCATCAGATGCTGCAATAAAACACACCCTTTACATTACTATTAGTTATAGGCATAAACTGTCCCTGAGAAAATGCTCAACACAGAGACGGCACAGTGTGGTGTGTGTGTGTGTGTGTGTGTGTACGTGGAAGGGGGATGTGGCAGCAGGGAGGAACTAGTGGTGCCAGAAGAGATGATAGAGACAATAGAGAAGGTAGGGCCGGGATAAAGACAGGAAGATTCCAAAGACCTTCGGGGAATCTGGAAGAAATCTCCCCTGCAGTTAGGGGCAGTCAGTGAAGGGCTAGCTTCAATTTGACAGTGAGTGAGCTCCTATAATATATTCAGTCATACGAAGTTTTAAGCCAGCCTGAAGAAAGAGAAACAATTCAGAAAAGCTTTAATTCATAAAAACACAGCTAAAAGCAATCAGATTCCTGTGACAGTTGATAAGCAGGCTTCTCAGGATACAAGCAAGGGAGTACACACTCTCTCGGCCTCCAAGCGGTCCCCTTGCTACTTCTTGTTGATGGAGTCAGCACTCTTTCTTGACTAACGCAGTCTTAAAGTAAAATAATTAAAAAACCCAACAACCACCCCCATATTCCTTAATAAGGAATCATTTTTAATTCTTGGGATCTAGCTCACTACGCTAAGGAAATAAAATTAGACATATACCAAAAGCGGTACTGCCATTGATGCTTAGTCTAAGATGGGTATTAGAACTTCACAGAGGCAGGTTTATACTAAAAACTAAATTTAACTCCATGAAAGTCAACATAGGAGCACAGCCTTAGCCCCTTCAGCATCCACGGGGACTGAGCTGTAATGTTGGAGCATTTTCACTGGACCTTTGACACACAAAGCTGTAACTTTTATTTCTGATGATCTCCTCCACTCCCCCTTTTATTAAAAAAATGCAAAATACTTTTAGAAGAATGATGAAAAAATACAGGAAATACAAGATCACAAAGGCAAAGTTTTCTAAATGCATGCTACTTGAAATCCTCATACTCTGACCATTTACCCATAGGTAGTAACTTCATGTTGGTCCCCAGAACACATTTAAAAATCCTGTCGTACCAGCCTTCCCTAAAGATGTATTCGTTTAAGAAGACAAAAAGGATGAAGGATCCGTCTTGTTTGCCTTATACCACTTTGTGACACAAACACCGTATTTGTTTCTGTTATTCCTCCAGCCTTCCAGCACAGTAATTTCTAAGCCATTACTCTTTTAAAAATTCCTGATGAGTGTGGTACTACTGTTCGAAAGGATGAGCTGTCCATTCTCCCTTTTTCATTCTCCTGTTTAAAATTACTAATATCCCTCACTGCGGATCAGAAGTGAACTTTCAGAAACCTTTCCACTAATCTTTTTCTTGTAAGTAAAAGATCATTACCCATTACCCTCAGCTACCAAAAGAGCAGCTTCTGCTCTTCGTGTTAAAAGAGCTGCTCGCCCATGACGCTTGTCTCAGAAAATTTAGAAGTCTCGCTAAAAAGCTGAGGAGGAAAGCTGCTGGGAACGTTCACAGATACCTGATTTAACAAGGTTCTGTGCAAAGAGCCTGCCTTTAGATTAGCATTACTCAATGTTTATGAGGGTTGTTTGTCAAGCCAAAAATCAGGTGCCTCCTCCCCACAAATTAAAGAGTCAAGTTACAATCCATTATTTCATTTCTGATTGTTTTTCTTTGTAATAAGTGGGAAAGTGGATCCTGGATAAAAGTCTCTCCCGAGCTAAAAGACTCCACATTAAAGGCTTCAATTAGCTATAAATCAGTTGTCTTTCCTACTGGGGGAGAACAAGAGAAAAAGAGAGCGGGGGTAGTTGGAGGAAAAAAAGAGAACTGGAAGAGCCTCCCAATTAAATTCCGGGATACCTACTGCATACCTAAAACTCCTTTCCGGGGCTGTGGAGAAAATCCAAACAAAAGTTAAGACTAAAACGTGAGAGTTTGGTCCTGTCTCCCGGGTAGATCTTGGATCTTAAGAGCTTTCAAGAGAAGCTGAAGAGGTTAGGGACCCTCATAAAACAAAACGTTTACGCTGTGTACTTTCCCTGCTTGTGTCCCAACCCAGCGACGGGTCCCGCATTGGCACTATTGTTATGCAAACAGTGTCTAAATGGCTGTAACCATTAACGACCTCCCATTAAAACCGCCTTCAAAACTTTGTCACACCATCTTAAAAAAAAAAAAAAGCTAACAGGTACATCAGAGCCATCATAGATTGGGCATTCAGAACAAGAACCGTCTTGGTTGGTATCCTAAACCAATGCAAGTCAAATTTCAATATTCGGATCTTTAAAAAAAAAAACAAACTTTCTCTTTTAACCATCAAGCCGGGAACCAAACAATTTCCTTAACGGATCTAGTTTACCTTGTAATCAGCACGACGGAAAACAACTTTAACCCTATTGTGTGCGCACAGCGCGTGTTTTAGTTAACCGGGAGAAACCTGAGGTAGGAATCAACTGAAAGGACAGAAAATCAAGAGAACTGTTAAGATGAACTCCAAGCAACATGCCTTTCAGTCCCATCCATCTCCCTCCTCTCCCCCCCCATCATGCTATAACGTTATCATCACCCTCGTGTGTCTAATCAATATATTTTTCTCTACGTGAAATTCGTAGGAAGTGAATTCAATTTACACGAAGGCAGCGAATGGCATAGTCTTTTTTTTTTTTTTTAATGTGGTGCAAAAGCAACAACAACAGCAACAACAAATCCTGCTTGGCAAACCCAAGACAAGACGTCAGAGTTCGTTCTAAGAAATGCCTCTTTTTTTTTTTTTTTCTTTTGCAGTCGGAAGGCGAGCCCCGTTCGTTTTGCACGAATTGAGAGAGTTTCCGAGGCTTCCAGGAGAAGCGCCGCCAGCGCGCCAACGAAATGCGGATCCCGGAGCGGCGGGGCGCCCGCGGCCAGGTCTCGGCGCGCTGCGCAGGGTCGCTCCCTCCGAGGCCCGAGCCCGCAGGCGGACGCGAAGAGCGGCCGCGCCGCGCGGCCCACCTGGCGGCGACCCCGGCTCCCACCTGCAGGCGAGGGTGCGAGAGGGCCGACGCCGCGCGCACCCCGAGGGCCCGCTCGGAAGGCGGCGGCGGACCGGCCTCCTAAGGAGCCGTTGACAGCGACCCTCCGGGGCCTCGGGATGCTCCAGCCCCGAGGACGGGGCGTCCCTCGGCTGCGCGGGGATGACAGCCTGGAGCCGGCCGCGCGCGCGCGCACACACACACACACACACACACACACACCCTCCGCCCCACCGGTCCCCGACCCCGTCACGCCGCCCTCGCCCCCTAACGGACCCCGGACAGGCAGGAAGGTTCTGGAAAGCGCCGGCGGACGGCAGGTCCTCGCCCCCGCTTACCTTGGTGTACTTGATTTCGAGGTTGGGCGTGGGGGACGGCAAGAGGTGCAGGGAGGCCATGAGGGCGGCGGGGTCGGCCTTCACCTCGCCGGGCATCTCGATCTTGCTGGAAGTCATGCCGGCGGGCCCGGCGTGGCGTGCGGGCGGTGCGCGCGGTGCGGGCGGTGCGGGCGGTGCGGGCGGTGCGGGCGGTGCGGGCGGTGCGGGCGGTGCGGGCGGTGCGCGCGGTGCGGGCGGTGCGCGGTGCGCGGGCCGGGGGCGCGCTCGCCTGTATATAGGCAGGTGTCAAGCTGGGGCTTTTCTTATTGGACGTGAGGGCCGAGGCGCGGGGGGCTGGTCCATCCTACCTAGGACGCCCCGGGCGCAGCCCCGATTTACATAAAGCCCGCCGCCCGCGCTGCGCGGCCGGTTCTCGCGGCGCCCACGGTCAAGGGCGCCCGGCGGCCCCCCCGCCCCCGCCCCCGCCCCCGCCCGGCCGCGGGGACAGCCCCCCGCCCCCGCCCCACGCCCGCCCCCGCCGCCGCCGCCGCCGCCGCCGCTGCTGCCGCCGCCGCCTCGACGGCCAGAGTCGGAACCCGCGGCGCTGCGAGAGCTGCCCCGGCCTCGCTCGGCCCGGGCGGCGGCGGGGGGCGGGCGGGGCGGGGGCCGCGGGGCGCACCTCGGCCGGTGTCCCGCGCAGGTCGCGGCCCCAGAAGCACCGCGGGCGGGGCGGACGCGGCGCGGGCGGAGGGCGGCTCCTGGGGCGCCGAGCGGGCCGGGCAGGGGCCGGGGCGCACCCAGGGCCCCTCCCACCCACCCACCCGCGTCCCGGGGCCAGCCCAACCCGCGTCGCCCCTGCGGTGCCGGAGACCCGGGGTGGGGGCGGGGGGCGCCCTCCGTTCTCCGCCCTCGGGCAGGCGGCCCCGCACCGGAGCCCCGGGGTGCGCCGCGGCCGCGGGATCCCGCCCGGGGAGTGATGAGTGCGAGTCCCTCGCCCCACGCTCAAAATTGAGTGTCCCCGCAAGGCGGCCTTGGCCGGGCTTCTGCCGCCCGGCTGCTGCCCTCTGCCGGCGGGGACCACCCCGGGCGGTCGGGGCTGCGCCCCGGGATGCGGGCGTTGGTCCTTACGGGCTCTCCGGAGTCTTCTTGCATCTTGCTTCTTGGACCCCCCCTGCCAATCCTTACCTCCTCGCCCCCAAATAATACAAGGATATGCTTGTTTTGCTTTTTCTGTTGTTTCTCACAACAGCTACGATCCCGACAGGCACTGGAGCGGGTTCCTTACTTAGGCTGCTCCTTGGGTGTTGAGCCTCCATATCTATACATCCCCGCCCCCCAACTTAGGTATCGACTTAGCTCCAAAAGGCCTTCTCCTAGTTTGTGGGATCCTAGAGGTCAGCCTATAGATGTACATCAAGAGCCCAGAGACCCCATCCCAGAACGGGCTTTGGGCTGGGTGGGCCAAATCTGGGCTTCAGGTAAAAAATCTAGACCTTTCTAGATTTCCAGTGTGAGCGTGACAAGGGCCTACTGGTTCTTAATCTTGGATGCCGTTTTCAGGGTCCCTCGAACCTCATTTCTTTGGATGTTAAGGGACAGCCAGAAGAGATCTCGCCTCAGGTACTTTCCCTAACTAAAAGTGCCTAACAGTCAGCGCCTGGATGCTAACCAAGAGCAGAAATAGACAAAAATATTTCATTTTGGTTTTAGGGCTGTAGAAATAAATTCCAGCCCCTCAGAACCCAAAGTTAACTACCCGAGGCTACCTGAGTGAATTACCTGAGCTTAGGCAATAGAAAGATCTCAATTCACAGGGGATCACCAGGGTCAAAAATTGTGCTTTAGTAAACCGTATATGTTGGTGAGATACAGATTTTTTTTTTTTAAAGGCTTGGAGAGAGTCGGAGATACAATGGAGGAATAAAGAAAAAGGTCCCAGAGTTAGCTGGGGAGAGAGGGAGAAGATAGAAACAAGGAGGAATCAACCAATGGTGCTCATTCTGCCAACACGTTTTGCAAGGCAGGAGGCAGGAGGCTGGAGGCTGGGTTTCAAGCAAGATGAGTAGCCTTTGCCATCACTGAGCTGCAATCCCTTCTCCACAGGGAGATAGGATCACTGACTGTCTGTGGGGAAACTTAGAACACAGCATCACCCATATGATCTGGGGCTCCGCTAAGGAAGAGGCCTGATCTCTGGGAACCACGGCCTTTGAGCTGGGCCTGAAAAGGAGAGGTGAGACACCCCCAGCAGAGGAGAGGAGAGAATAGGCAGTAGAGTCCACAATAGCAAAGGTATATAAACTCAGGGGGAAGGGGGTAGGATTAATGTGGCTGGGGGAGCAGCGGATGAGGCTGCCAAGGCAGCTGACTCAGGGTGTAAGGACCTCAGTTCTCGAGACACTGAGATGCCATCAGAAGATTCTGAGGATGAGAAAAAGGGAAATCTGTATAAATTGGACTGATGAATGAATATTGTCAGGAAAGACTCTCACAAACTAGAAACCATTGAGGTATCTTCTTCGCAAAGTATGAGACAGGATGGTTCACCCTTGACCTCACTTCTTGCTTGCTGACTCTGGTTCTAGCACCACGGCTGGAAAATCTCTCCCAGGGAAGTATGATGGAATCACTAGCATTGGTTGCACAGTGATGGGGAACAAATAAAGAGAGTCCCTCTTCTCCAGGCAGGAAAAGGAGGCTCTCTTAGCTTTTTGTCCTAAGCCACTCCAAAGGGTCTATTATTTTGGTTTTTGTTTTTTGTGTTCTTTGTCCAATTCAAGATGAGAGACAAGATTTTGCAGAAAAGAATAGTGGATTACAATTACTTCTTCAGTGTACATTTTTCTTCCTTTCTGTTCATGGGACTTAACTCTGCTACTTACTTGTAAGGCTGCCATAACCTCTCTTCTCACATTCTCAGTCTTTGCCTTTTTTCTCTCTCTTTTACTCTCTTGTTCTATTACGTTCTCATTTCCTCTGTAGATTTCACCACCATTAAAGAGGCCATCTTCCCCACAACTACCTTCAGATTTGTAGCATTTTAAAAATCACTCTTTTCCATGATTTGGTTAAGAAACATTTTTCCCCACCCGTATAATGTTTCCTTCTCCCACCCCCTCCCGTCTGTAATTATTTATTGTTTAGGATACATCATGTTTATAAAACCCCTTGCACAAGGGAACACAAGCTACAGCATGCTCTATTTCCTTGTGAAAACAATTTATTAGGCCTGATGGAGCCAATATCCTGGAGTTGTAGAGGAGAAAAATAAATTCTTGCCTCATATTTCCTCACCTAAATAATAGAATGCAAAGTTGTAATTTTAAGGCATCCGCTTTATATGAAGTTTGATTTTTTTAAAAATATGAAACCATAGCAGTCTGGGCTTATTTTTAGTTGGCAGTTATGGGGAAACAAATTGAGAAACATGCTTTAGAAAATCAATGAAGGAAACTGAACGGAGCACAAAGATTCCTCCTCCCAACCAAGGAACGCTTCTGGTTTTGACAACAACAATGTCCAGCTTGAACTTCAAGCTTCTATGTTCAGGGGCTGTGTCAGCCTCAGGTGGCTCTGCTTAATTGCCTTCCTGTTCCCATTACTAACCATGCTGACAGCCTACCTTTTCTAACAGATACACTCGCATTTTAATTTATCTGCAAAAATAAATCACACGTTATGGCATTTCTCTCTTCCGGGTTAATTGAATCAGTTCCTTAAATGTCTCTAAGTCTAGTGATTTAAAAGGAGCACATTGTTTGAAATATTTAAAAAATTAGGGCCCTTGGGTTGTATGCAGAATGATCTCAGTGCTTATTTCAGATATAAGTGTTTCCTAATGATCTCATTCATCTCAAACGGGATATGCTCAGCTACTTCATTTAAAATGTTTCCTGAAAATTCGAACAGGAAAGCTTAATGCGAAGTATATTTATAGAGAGATGGTATTTAACTTATTAACAAAAGCTTGTAAAGAGCGTTGCATGTTTTTATCCAGAAATGCTTAATGAAGTATTTTGGATCCATTCTGAAAACTTCTATAAAACAAATATACTTATATTTTTACTTAACGTGAATATTAACTTTTTATTTGGGATCTAAACAGTCATTTAATTATCCTGTTCCTTCCAACATCTAGAAGAAAAGAGGCTGAGATTGTGGCATTTATTAACCATAAAAATTCTCTATATATTAAGTCCCTCCTACCCCAGTGTGGCCTCTGGTCACTGTATTCTATGAAAAGGGGTATTTATGGTTGCAGGGATTAGATTCCTAATTGGTTATGACTCCAAAAATAATGTTTTGATACAAAACACAGTTCTTTCCTTTTAAAATATATCCTCTCCCTTTAGGGAGCCTCGAGAGACTATTTTAAAAGTGGAAACTAGATTTGTCTTTGTTATAAAGCCCAGTTCCACCTCATATTTGTTTTAGAGGCATCAATCTAGGGGCAGGGATGAGCTCAGCACTTTATCAATAGTCATACTTAACAGGCACAGGGAGAAATTAAAATCCCAGCTCTACAGCCCTCTCTGCCAGGCCCCAGGAAAAAGGCATTAGCTCCCTCTGCAGTTGATGGCATGTATGTGCAAACGAAGGCGAAATGTCAAAAGGCAATAGTTAGAATTTAGTGTATTTTATCCACCATCGATGAGAAATATATGGAGATGTTACAGTTTTAATTTGAATCAGGCTGGTGGGGGGTGCAACTCAGAATGCAGACCAATTTCAAACTACAGTTAATTTAGGAGAGGGACTTTCATTAAAAAAGGTTTCGGCTTTTAGGATAGCATAAAAAGTAAAATATTCAGCCCCCCACTCCCCCCAGTCCTGCTCACACAGTAGTTCAGAACATGTGGTATCCCTGAGCAAATCACATGAGTGTGTCTCATATTGGAAGCAACTATTTTTATCATGGTGGGTGAGGAAAGGTTACTAAAAAAAAAAAAAAGAAAGAAAGAAAAAAAAGAACTCTTTGGCATGTAACTAAGTTAAGTTTGCTTTTCTGTTTTCCTTTCATGTTCCTTAATTTGCAGTTTTCCTTTTACTTTTAAAATGCGTCACATCTACATGTAACTCTTAACTGCTACTCCTTACTTTCGGGCTCTCCCATTCTTAAACATAGCTCTTTTCTCCAG